AGACGGAGTGCCGCGCGTGCCTCGACAAGGCCCTCGCGTCACACGGGCTCGCCGCCACCGCCGACACGTGCTTACGCCTGCCGCGAGATTTCGACGAGCTGCCGTCGCATGCATATCTGCTGCGGATTACACGTGCTCCATCGGCCTGAGAGGGCTTGCGCTGGGGTCTCACGTTCGTGTCTTGCGAGAAGGCAGGCAGGCACCACAGGCGAGTTGCAGTTGGCGAGACCGGAGCTCCGGTCGCGGCGACGACAACCATCGACCTGGAGCTGGACGCTGTGCTTGGTGCTGCCCACCAGCCCTGCTGGTGTACGGAACTCGCAACTCCGTACTCGGCGTCCGCTCTTGTCCACGCGTGTTGCCATCAGATTCTACAATAGATTATAGAACAGATTTCGCGTTCCCCACCTTTCAGTTTACGCGTTATTTGAAATTATAAAGTACGGGGTGTGTGGCCTTTTGCTGGTGCAGACGATCGCGGATCGGAATTCGGATCTGCAGGCGTACGGTAGATCACGTGCAGAAGGTAACGCTTTTGAAAAACGAGTGTTACTGTAGTGATAAACGAATAGAAGAGCGGCGCAAACGCGACGACCTCCGCCACCGAGGCGGACGAGGGCCGTCGCTGCCACCTCCCACTCTTGTGTGTTATTACCCTTTCACACTCTCGGGTGTCATTACTCGATCCCATCGACGGATCGGCAGTGTCGGCGCCACCAGCACCGCGCTCGGTCTCGCTCAGCGAGGCGGCCGAGAGCCCAGGCAACCCGCAAACGCGCATTTGGGACGCACGTAAAATCTCGGAGTTGATGAGACGGGTGGAAATGTGTTTTTGAATTGAGAGAGAGAGAGAGAGATGTCTTGTTTTTGTGAATGAAGAGCAAGAAATGAAAAAAGCGGATATTGTAAACGCGGGTTCACCTCCCGTGAGCCGTGCGTATCTCCGTTCGTCGAGCTCGGGCGCCGGGTGGGCTCGGAGGGACGCCGGACAAGGGAGGAAAAGGAGAAAAAAGTGTCGCGAAAACAAAGAAACACCGAATTCGCAAGCGACCGATCATGGCGAGCGGGGAGCAAGGCCCTTCGCCGGGCTCCATAACCGCGATACAGGTTTTGGCCTCGTACGCGCCGGCCGAGCTCGTCCTGCGGCACGCCGCGGACCGCCACCCGGCGCCGCCGTCGGCGCCGGAGCGAGAGGATTTTGAGGGCGCCGTCGGCTTTGTGGATGTCTCCGGCTTCACCGCCCTCTCCGAGCGGCTGCAAAAGGACTTTGGGAACAAGGGATCGGAGAAGCTCAATCAGTACATCAACTCCTACCTCACGCGCTTGATTGACGGTCCGCTCGCCCCGCTCCGACACAGCCGTCTCGCAGCTCCCGCACGCGCGGGACTGTGCGCGCTCGGAGCAAAGGCTGCAGCTGCGCGCGCGCTGCGCGCCGTCTCGGCCCGTCGCCTGCTACCCGGCCTGCGCCGGTCCCGATGCGCTCCTCCTCCCCCCCCACTCCCGCGGCAGGCGTCTCGCACCACGGCGGCGATGTGATCAAGTTTGCGGGCGACGCGCTGCAGGCCCGTGATCCGCCGCCTGTAGACGAGAGGTGTGCGAGATAGTGCGGGCGGCGCGCTGCAGGCGTGCTCGCGCGCCGCCTC